TAGTCATAAAAAGAACATCGGGGTAACGGACATCGGACTTCGGGGTAGCGGACATCGGACATCGGGGTAACGGGCATCGGACATGGGGGTAACGGACATCGGACATCGGGGTAACGGACATCGGACTTCGGGGTAGCGGACACCAGACATCGGGGTAACGGACATCGGACATCGGGTAACGGACATCGGACATCGGGGTAACGGACATCGGACATCGGGGTAACGGACATCGGACTTCGGGGTAGCGGACATCGGACATCGGGGTAACGGACATCGGACATCGGGTAACGGACATCGGACATCGGGGTAACGGACATCGGGGGTATCGGACATCGGGGTAACGGACATTTATAAGGTTTTAGTTTACAAGAAAGCTTAACAACACAGCTTTATGCAAATCACGAAAAGAAATTCTCAAATGCATTCATACTTGGGTGAAATGCATATGTTGCATTTGAACACTTTCTAAACTGGCATTGTGTAATCATAGCTTTCGGCCGTTGGAGCCGTGCTAATTAACACTTATCAGAGGGGTACACAAAGTCCGCAGTCTAGACTAACAGTTGTCCGACTTTCATTTTTTGTGGAAGTCGCGGTGGCTGAGCGGGTTGGGCGTCTGACTTTGTGTGCTGGCGATTTGGTGCCTGACTCTGAGAGTGTAGACTCGAATCCCTGATGGAACTCAATTCAAAAAGTACGAGAATTAGTACTTTACTAAGAAATTGTAATCCCAAATATAACATATGTTGCTATTAAACTTTGTCAGTGTAGGTATCACCGCCATATATAAGACAAACAATGTGCGCTGTGGTCAAACAACGGACTCAGTTAGCTGATTAAAAACAAGGGCTCCTGCCCTGGGCGCGAGATGAACAGATAATAGGCGCCTCTCGGGTAATCTCGAAGTAATTAATTACGGCTCGTTATTATTCCTTTATGAATTTATAAGAAATAAAAGAGATTTTAATGGTAACATCACAACTACAGATATGAGAAAACAATAAAGTGACAGAAAAAATAACGTCTTAATTAGGAATGTTTACAGAGTTTTCCGAGCCGGACGGAATCTGTCGCAGATAACGTGAGCAAATACGTGGGACAGCTACTCTACACGACTATACTGTCTCACAAACCAATCATCGCGCCATTGTAACACGGTTAATGAAAGGAAGAACAAATAGACATCGAGCTTTACGGTCATCGTATCCATAAGCGTTTACCCCCTTGATGCCATAGGGCCATATATGTCCAGGGTATTAAACTTCACTTTTAACTCGAATAATATATCACAGACATCACAAACACAAATACACCATGCAGTTTGGACATATGGGGAATTTTCCTGTATCATGTAACACCAAGTGGCATCTGAGGTAAAGCAGACATTTGTGGAAATGATCTGTGAAAATTAGGTACTGCAGTACATCTAAATCGTCATTTTTGACACAACATGAAATCGCCATTCAATATTTGGTGTATGTTTGAAGTGTAAATTTCAGATATTTCCTCGTATTTTAACAATAGAACTTTAGTGATCCCTGATGTCTGTTTGTCATCAAACCAGCAAAGGTTACACTGAAAGGTCGCTGATTACCCTAGAATCGGTTGTGATGTTTTGGAAAATACACGAACACGAACGCCGAAGTAAGCCATCCGCCATTTTGGATAGTGTTTACAAACTCACGTGTCGTCCGGCCTTGAGACACCTATTACATGAAGTATACTTCACGCTCAGCTGCGACAAATACATCACAGGATTTCTCATACATTTTAGAATCAAACAACAAAAGGTGTTTGTCATCGATAAACGTGTCTAAATATACTTGGTGTGAAAACGATGGTTGCGCTCATAAGGCTGGGCTGGTATGAAATATGAAAGAGAAAACCAGATTGTACACGGTGTAGTTATCTCTCGAAATTTAAGACATCATTCGTCTATTTGTTGCATGCATTGTCTCTGTACTTTTAGAATATGCACAGGGGAGAGTTTTGTAGGAGGACGTTGGAAATTTACTAAAATAGATACATTACAATGATTTCGTGAATTCAAACAAAATTGTCCAAGTTACCGTCCTGAATGACGTCATGACCGACGCAAAATCACGCACAACGACAACGGTATTTGCGGTATTAATATTTCTGACTACTTCTCTTGTTTGCAATGAAACACAAATGACAATACACAGATAATCATTGGTTATTTTTTTCTGATTACTTACATCACGCATTTATGTTCAAACGATCCCTGAATCAAGGGAAGGTCCCTCGCAAAACGTAAACAAATCAGTCATCGGTAGTGATGTCATAGCCAACATTGTTGTACATATTTGGCAGTTTGAGGTGGAAGTCGGTTGAATCAGAGTAAAACACAATCTCTCCATCCGACTGCTCACAGTTTCAGTATTATAATGTATATTTTCATCTTTTAAATATTTTTTGGCGGCACTGAATTCATTATCTACATCAGTATCCACATCATGCGTGGATATAGGCAATGCGATTGTATCCTTTGAAAGCTTTTCTTTGTTTTTCATAAGAAATCTAGTCATCAAGCGTAGTACACCATATTTATTACCTTTATACAAGTGTCAGAAGAAAAGGCGTTGGTGTATCTGCAACATGTACTTCAGTTCCTGTGATGTGCAATATTCAATATTGTGATTTCATGTCGGCAGGTCAATAAACATCAATTTTAATTTAATCTTATATGTAAAGCTTACAATGATAATTTAAGAGAATGTTTGATATGTTTTATCAAATGTATATGCACATAGTTTTAAAGGAATTGTCTTGGTTATGGAATTTGTTTATGCCGTTATACACAGAACAATAATGTATGATGACTGGCCAGGTGCACGCTTGACAATCGTTTTATCATGTACTCGCCATGTTTTCTATGATATAATCAATTTATTATTATTATTTTATAATATTGTGATGTTGTCATGACAATAGACAGTAACTATATTTCGACAAGAATTTAAAACATATATCAACCTGCCATGTCTTCCTTCGGCCAAACCTTACATTATTCTGATAGTCCCAAACACAAGGAGCTCTTTTTCTTTCATTGTATACTTGAGATTGGTTGTTTAGTTTGTTGGTTTACGCCGTACTGAGCTGTATTCAAGCTATAGATATACATATGGCGGCGGTCTGTAAATAATCGAGTCTGGACCAGACAATCCAGTTAGCAGCAACATGAGCAGCGAACTACGCAGTTGCGATACGACGACATGTGTCACTTCCGGGGACTCACGTGATCCATCAGCAATACGGGGGATATTGTGAGTGATTGGGTCGGGGTAAACACTTGCCGCATGGACAGGGAAGGCTCCAGTATTTCTATCATGGCGACAACACGAAAAGGAAAAAAGTTCAGGATGTATCTGAGATCTGAAATATGTACCATGAAATCGTGCATCTACGACAGTGACAGTGACATCACCGAAACGATTGATGTTTTTTTGTTTTTTTTGTTGTTTTTTTTCTTTTTTTGTTTAACGCCGCACCCAGCAATATTCCAGCTATATGGCTGCGGTCTGTAAATAATCGGGTCTGGACCAAATACTCCTGTGATCAATAGCATGAGCATCGAGCTACACAATAAGGTGAAATTTGTCATAGAACTCGGTTAATAATGGTGCAAAATAAATAAAAACTGCGTGTAATATTTCTACAAGAACTGACTTACATATTGGATAGGGCCACCCATTTCGCTATTACGTGATGTCACATTTTGTATAATTTCAACATTTCTCGTAATTTGTGATTCTACCAAAACGTATGCAGTTACAATGTGGATATAGGAATAAAATGGTTCATCGTGAACGAAAACTCAGAAAAAAGTGTCCTTATCCACAGTCCATTCTCTCCAAATGACCTCAGTTACATTGGGGGTGGTCGGGTAGCCTAATGGTTAAAGTGTCCGCTCGTCACGCCGAAGACTCGAGTTCGATTTCCCACATGGGTGCAGTGTGTGAACACCCAAAAGCAGCGTAAAACCACACCCACCCACTTATTACTTATGAGCCATGACGTCAACTAAAATGTTGATAATTTCAGTAATTTCATTACACTTGAACATACGCTTGAAGAACTGTCGCACAGTGCGGTTATCTGTGTACGATAAAAGCGGCGAAATTTACTGTTTTTAACGCATAACAAAACTTCAGACAAGATTTAGCAGTGTCTATTTTTCAAACCGCGTATAAGCATTTGCACTCGAGTTAACATAAGACAGGAAATGTAATATTCTACATTTCTGTGTAATTTTATAACTGTAGGTAGATCCAGTGATGCGAGAAGGATGTTCGACTTGTCAGATCTTATGGAAATGTGCGTCAGAAAATAAAACTTTGGCATCCAGGGCCTACATTTTCGAAGCTCTCTTAGCGCTAAGATAATCGTAAGTGCCATACATTAACATTAACTTACGACTATCTTAGCGCTAAGAGAGCTTCGAAAATCTAGGCCCAGGGGTTTAACCAGTTGTAGTTTTCAAACCTACTAAGTATTTGACTTGAATTTATATACCCTCGGATAGGAAATTTAACTTTCTATATTTCTGTGTAATGTTTGTAGCCGTAGGCCGATCCAGTGCCACGCGAGCAAACATTTTCGCTGTACTTTCACTTTTTAGAATTTATTAAAATGTGCGTCAGTAACAAATCTCGGCATTCAGGGGACTAGTGTAAGACCCTGGCCGCAATGCCGTGACGTCATCAGTAGTGTGACGTCACTGTCAGTGTACGTTGAGCGCCAAATCTCTTGGCGAACCGCTGCACTCTGAGGTCACAGAGTGCAGCGAGATGTAAACAAACCGTTTGTTGTTGTCTATTGTGTGATTAATTACAAACTAATGAACATAAACATGTCATGACAAATGATTTACGTAGAATTATATTACGAAATGCCGTGTTAATATACCAATTACTTAGGATCTGTATTTACACTCACCTGATCAAGTTCCAAACACAACAAATGACAAAATATCTGAAAATGTTTCACAAGTTTTATTTTCCTAACATACGTCAAACATCCTCACCTTAATGCTGAAATATAAAACACGATGACGTGAACGTCACACACCACGTCAGTGTCAGTAATGACATGTACTCCATGACTGTCTACACCAACACCACACTGACTTCAGTGTCCACCACGTGACACCAGGAGATCCGACAGTTGAGGATGTCGCCTGCCTCTCGCCACGTCGGTCGCTGTCTGCCCGCGGTTGTTCCAGGCGTTGACGTCCACCCCGCCCAGAGACAGGACAAACTTCACTGTCTCCCTGTCTCCTCCCCAACAGGCCCAGTGAAGGATGTTGTCACCGTTATCGTCCACCAGTGACACATCAGCACCTCGACTCACAAGGAACTCCACCACATCCCTGTGTCCCCCCAGTGCTGCCCACATCACCGGTGTCCTGTTCCACCGTCCTCCTCTACTGTTGATGTCCACCCCGTCCAGAGACAGGACAAACTCCACTGTCTTCCTGTCTCCTCCCACACAGGCCCAGTCAAGGGTGTTGTTACCGTTATCGTCCACCAGTGACACATCAGCACCTCGACTCACAAGGAGCTCCACCACATCCCTGTGTCCCCCCAGTGCTGCCTCCATCACCGGTGTCCTGCTGCTCCTCCATCCTCTACTGTTGACGTCTGCGTGACCCGCTGACAGGATCCGCCTCACCTCCTCCAGGTCACCGCTCCTGCTGGCGTAGTAGAGGTCGCGGCCTGCTTGTGATGGAGTCGCTGTAACACAAAGTAAACTGTGTACACATTGGGACATCTGCGTTGTACATTGTTTACATCACAGAGTGTTGATACAGACATGGACATAGATGCATCATTTAAACAATTCCACGAACACTTTGGGGAAGGACGACAACTGGTTAATGTAATGAAGGATTGTTTGTTGTTAAAATAAGCCTTTCTATCAATAATATTCTGTGTTTGGCTGGAGAGTGTTCATGTTTGGTGGACAGATATAAGCATATTACACTGGTTTACTGCGTCTGTTTTATGACGGAGTCGGATCCTGACAGCCCAGTGACTGACATCATGAACATCAATCGATGATACGTCTATCTATCAACTTGTTAGTAGGGTAGGGGTTAGCTACCACCTGCTGTGTTCTCCCACCTACCGTCTATCTATCAGCCTGTTACTAGGGTAGGGGTTAGCTACCACCTGCTGTGTTCTCCCACCTACCGTCTGTCTATCACCTTGTTACTAGGGTAGGGGTTAGCTACCACCTGCTGTGTTCTCCCACCTACCGTCTATCTATCAGCCTGTTACTAGGGTAGGGGTTAGCTACCACCTGCTGTGTTCTCCCACCTACCGTCTATCTATCAGCCTGTTACTAGGGTAGGGGTTAGCTAGCACCTGCTGTGTTCTCCCACCTACCGTCTGTCTATCAGCCTGTTACTAGGGTAGGAGTTAGCTACCACCTGCTGTGTTCTCCCACCTACCGTCTGTCTATCAGCCTGTTACTAGGGTAGGGGTTAGCTACCACCTGCTGTGTTCTCCCACCTACCGTCTATCTATCAACTTGTTACTAGGGTAGGGGTTAGCTACCACCTGCTGTGTTCTCCCACCTACCGTCTATCTATCAGCCTGTTACTAGGGTAGGGGTTAGCTACCACCTGCTTTGTTCTCCCACCTACCGTCTATCTATCAGCCTGTTACTAGGGTAGGAGTTAGCTACCACCTGCTTTGTTCTCCCGCCTACCGTCTATCTATCAGCTTGTTAGTAGGGTAGGGGTTAGCTACCACCTGCTGTGTTCTCCCACCTACCGTCTATCTATCAACTTGTTACTAGGGTAGGGGTTAGCTACCACCTGCTGTGTTCTCCCACCTACCGTCTATCTATCAACTTGTTACTAGGGTAGGGGTTAGCTACCACCTGCTGTGTTCTCCCACCTACCGTCTATCTATCAGCCTGTTACTAGCGTAGGGGTTAGCTACCACCTGCTGTGTTCTCCCACCTACCGTCTATCTATCAGCTTGTTACTAGGGTAGGGGTTAGGTACCACCTGCTGTGTTCTCCCACCTACCGTCTATCTATCAACTTGTTAGTAGGGTAGGGGTTAGCTACCACCTGCTGTGTTCTCCCACCTACCGTCTATCTATCAGCCTGTTACTAGCGTAGGGGTTAGCTACCACCTGCTGTGTTCTCCCACCTACCGTCTATCTATCAACTTGCTACTAGGGTAGGGGTTAGCTACCACCTGCTGTGTTCTCCCACCTACCGTCTATCTATCAACTTGTTAGTAGGGTAGGGGTTAGCTACCACCTGCTGTGTTCTCCCACCTACCGTGTGTAGAAGACGTTGGTTTGGCCCCTGGGAGCAGATGGTCCGTCTCGCTCCCACCCTGACTGGGATCAGTGGAGTCTGAAACAGAGAATAGCCTGTTTAGTAAACTATATAGAGCACATTAGCTTGTTTAGTAAACTATATAGAGGACAATAGCATTACAAATCCTGGGCAGGTATACAACAAATAGCCTGTTTAGTAAACTATATAGAGGACAATAGCCTGTTTAGTAAACTATATAAAGCACAATAGCATTACAAATACTGGCCAGGTATACAACAAATAGCCTGTTTAGTAAACTATATAGAGGACAATAGCCTGTTTAGTAAATTATATAAAGCACAATAGCCTGTTTAGCAAACTATATAAAGCACAATAGCAATACAAATACTGGCCAGGTATACAACAAATAGCCTGTTTAGTAAACTATATAGAGGACAATAGCCTGTTTAGTAAACTATATAAAGCACAATAGCATTACAAATACTGGCCAGGTATACAACAAATAGCCTGTTTAGTGAACTATATAGAGCACAATAGCATTACAAATACTGGCCAGGTATACAACAAATAGCTTTTTTAGTAAACTATATAGAGCAAAATAGCCTGTTTAGTTAACTATATAAAGCACAATAGCATTACAAATACTGGCCAGGTATACAACAAATAGCCTGTTTAGTGAACTATATAGAGCACAATAGCATTACAAATACTGGCCAGGTATACAAAAAATAGCTTGTTTAGTAAACTATATAGAGCACAATAGCCTGTTTAGTAAACTATATAAAGCACAATAGCATTACAAATACTGGCCAGGTATACAACAAATAGCCTGTTTAGTGAACTATATAGAGCACAATAGCATTACAAATACTGGCCAGGTATACAACAAATAGCCTATGTTGAGTTAGAATTAAAGTATGCACGCTTATCATAGCATAGTAAACACATGTTCCCAGATTAAGGAGAGCTAGCACCGGCTGTGTTTTCCCACCTACCCTGTATATCAGACTCTCCTGTGGTCACTTGGGGCAGTGGATTCCGACCAGTCCAGACTGAAACAGGGCATGGGCTGTTATTAAATATGATGTTAAAATATCACTGATTTCCATTTTTTCCACTGAATAAAATACCGACTTGTTATCAGAATGTCTAATAGTTTTGTATCCTGGGTAATCTCTCAATACAACTCAAATTTAGACTGTTGGAAGAAAAAACACTTTCAGAATCCTATTACATGTGCTAACGTTCATAGCTCAGTGTCATAAGCTATACAGCGTCTTTGTTTTTACCTACCCAGATACATTGTCTCTCTTTGTTGTTATGTGGAATTTGTTGATTACAGTTTTAAGTTGTGTAGTAACATAAGTTTAGACACTAAAAGCATTAACAGTTTTGTCACTGGATAGACACGCAAGAAAAAGCATATCTTCAATACAGTACAATACTGGAGATGTGAAGCAGTTGTATTGGAACAGGAGGAATTACATCATCTACCTTACCTCAGTCTGGATTGATTAGCATATTTGTTTGATTGTATGGATTGTTGGTAGAATGAGAAGGACACGACCACGTGTTCTGGGAAGAATGGGTTTTTTTTAGTCTGTAGGGATGCAGTGTTTCTTGGGTTCATAACAGTTTCAGGCAGGTTGGGTAAATTGCTAAATTCAAATTAAAATTAGCCGTACGACATCAAACAAATTGGCAATTATAACGATAGATGTAAACAGCACTATGTCTAACCTAACGGCAAAACATACATATGTGTTTTGTTTGCAGAGTACGCAAGTGCAGTAGGTCTAGATCTAGATTATGTATACTACACTGAAATAACATGTAAGTCTATGGAAATTACATCAAGTGGCCCAATATAAGTGGCACGGGTCTGTGTGGTGACAAGGGTTGATATTGTGATTGTCCGTGTGATGGACGCCGATGCTGCGATGGTCTATTTTGCAGTCAGTCAGATAATAGGAGAATCCAGCACACGTGCCCTTACGACTGTTATACCTCGTCATTCTATAAAATAACTGCTGCAGAATTCTACTCTTTTTCCACACATTTTCGGAACTGTAATGTGAGAAAGCCTATACTGTAGTCATGGACCTCGTGTGTGGCATGAAGCTTCGTCTACCAAATTATTCTCGGCCTAACCATCACGTCTGTGTTGCATATACCTGGCATCAAGGTTCACACATGTGCCAAAATTGTCTCGCATTCCGCCGATCGGTAAAATTAAAACAATGTTGGCTCATGAATGTATATATATTGTCGCCGCCATTTGTTTCCGATACAGGCCAGTGTGGTCTGGGTGTAAACTTTGTGTGAGGCAGGCGGGGCATTACGTAAACATATACTGTCAATCAATCTTACTCTATTCCCAATTTCTGGATCCATGTTATTTTCACAATAATAAGTGTAAAAGTAGAAACCAGTAACTCACCCGCCCATCACGCTCAGCACAAGTCATACACTTCTAGTGTCAGTCATGAACTGCCTTGACTGGCGACACCACACCGAGAAGGTGCTAGTTATGACGTCACTATGACGTGGCAGAGTAGAGTCGGTCATATTTTGGCGCCTGACTGCGTGAACGGATCAACCGCTTGTGAGCCAGGCCTATTGTAGCCTGATAATGATATACTGTCCGGCTGCCAGACGCCACGCCAAGATTAATGTGGTGTGGTATATTCTCAACAGACCCATTATCTAACATATATTCAAACAGACGTGTGATTTTATTAGGAAAAGTACAGGGTCCAAGTATTGTACCCCTAGTCGACATGCACCTACACCTCTACAAGCTTTAGAATTACGTCGCTTCCGGTGACATGCGTAAAGTGTGAGGCCTGTTGATGCCTATTGTTGCCAGAATTCTGTCACGTGTTACGGTAAAAAAAATTAGAAACCCCTCATCAATGGAATTTTTATACAATAGATATCAGAACGCAAAAAATCATTAACATAATCCAGCATTGTAGGAAGAACAGCCTGTCGGATGTGGGCAAAACACCATAAAGTTAATTAAATCAGTTAAGTCAAATTCCATCCACGTCACATCCGTGTTTATGTAAATAGACCGATCCAACTGTCAATCAAAACAAGCGCGCGCTTCAGTCAGTGAGAAGGTCGGGTGTTCCTTAATGGATATGTTTCACTTACCCCCTTGATGCCGAGTTTTTTTTCAGGCGCACATTTTCATACGCTTTGAAAAGTGAACGTTGTGCGAGAATTGCGCTCGCGTGGTCCTGGATCTGCGTACGGCTATAAAATTACACAGAAATGTAGAATATTAAATTTCCTATCCGTTGGTATAAATATAAATGCAACTTCCTTGGCGGTTTGAGAAATAGACACTGTTAAATGTTGTCCACAGTTTGTTATGCGTTAAAAAACAGTAAATGTATCCGCTTTTTATCGCGCACCGATAAAAGCACTGTGCTACGAATTTTTTAATGTGGCCTCTTTACGGAAAGTGTTAGCGAAGAAAATGCAGCCTGATATCTGAACGATATAGAGTGTGTATATAAATTGGGTTTATGTGCTTGTGCATAACGTTATACGCTCAACATTAAAAATGACTCGCAATAGACCATTCTTAGCCAATATGCATGACCTCGAGGTCAAATCGAAAGCGAGGCTTAAATAGGTTGACCCCACCTTGAAAATGGCGACCTCGAAAAGGAAAGATTACTGCTGTGTGCCTTTGCGTTGGAGTGATGCCCGTAAGGATTTTACGGTATCTTTCACCATATTCCCAAGAATAAGATCAGAAGAAGGCAGTGGTTGACGAAAATACTTGAGATCCTGGAAAATGATTCATAGTAAGTACAAAATAATTACGGCACATGTCATAGTCTAGATCTGCCGTGTAATGTACAAACTGTTCACTATGCAAGGTTTTGATATCAGGGGCTCGTGTACAATGTGAATGTCACACACACACAGACACATTCAAACACCACCCCACCCCACACACACATTGTCATGTTCAAAATCAGTGATCACCCCCTAGTTCATATGTACACAATTGACCCTCCCCTGCCTCCCAAAACAAACTGGGAGACACCCCAACCCCCACAAACACTGCACCTAAAATCATCATCACCCCCTAGTCATAAATTATGAACGGTCCAATATATTAAAAACAATTAAGCATATCGACATGTGCAGACACTCTTGTCATGATGGCAAGGGAATTTTATTTACCGAAATATTCTGTGTCCGTGAAATTAGATTGGCTGCAAATCAAAAGTAACATTTCAAGTACATATATATGAAGGACATACATTTGTATATGCAGGGACATACACATGCTGTTAAAAAAAATCTTGAATATGTATCTACTTTCAAAATTACTGCATACTGACCAGTACTTCAGGGATACAGGACATATTACTGGACAATGTAATTACACCAACTGAAATATATTTAGTGTTTAAACATCCATTTCAGATGCTGCTAATTAAGAGTCAGAGAGCATGTAACCAGCTCAGGAACCTCCCATAAGGAATCTACCACAGTCACCATCTCAGATACAGTAAGAATGTCAGATCGTATTAAGTTAATTTTGCCAACATTAAAAGAATGTAATACAACTGAACTTTGACCTATATGCTATGTTATTTACATATAAAAATATTGATTGCCCATACTGTCTAAAATATGAAATGATTTTAGCCTCTATTCCTGATGTATATTTGTAATTCCAGAGATATATTTATTGTTTGTGTGGTCGAAGAGATAATACTGATGCTTTACAATGCTTATTTTACTGTGAAGCAGAGAGTGATACAGCAGCCACTGACCCCAGTCCTACATAGAACAACTCCAGCAAAACTTACATGAACAGGGGAGGCAACTCAAAGAAAGGTTGACAAAATAGAAAAATTGAACAGAAAACTTGAACTTGAAAAGTTTGGAGTTTGTAAATTCATGTATGATGATAAAATTGATTGAAAATTTTACAGTATTCCATCATTTCAAACATTGGCACTGATTAGCTGGAACGTTTTCGTTTGTTGAATATCTTCCAGGTTTTGTGAAGTACCTTGCCCAAACAGCACAAAAAATTGACAGACATGAATGTAAAATTGTGAAATTGTTTGGTGCTTTTGTGATGTGTAAATGATGGATGAAAAAAAGAGACAGCTGTAATACATACACATTGATGGATTTAACTGAAAAATAGACAGGTCTTTCATAATGGCATAGTTGTAGATGTAACTTATTTGCTGCTGTTTAATTAATAATTGATGAAAAAGGAATGTATTTCATCCTGTTTGAAAAGAAGTTAGTTGGGAATCAGAAAAGAACATCATTCATAGGTAAGAGATTATGATAATGTGTAAAGGGAGAAACTATGATAAAAGTATGCATTGATCCAGCGGTAATTGTTGCCATTTATGCCAGACTAATCTAAAAGGATGCTTCTCTGAACATAAAATATTGCACCAATATATTTTCAATTTGCATCCTCTGAAAATTTATTGTTATTCAATAGTATTACAGTTGGAAGCTATTGTGAATGTGTCTATTGTTATTGGACTTTACAAGACACCATTTCAAAATAAATTATTATTATTAACTGCACCCAGGTGTTCGTTATTTATTTGGGTTAATTGTTTGCTTGTGTGAATCCTGTTATGTTATTCTGATAATATGTTCTCCTTAAAATGTCTTCAGTTATAGTGGTACAGAATAAATACACCTGATCTACAATAAATCAATTTTATGGTATAGTAACACAGAATTGAAAATTGGTTCAAATATTCCCTATGCGAGGTACCTTTTCACTTGTCCATTTAGGTAAGTAATTATTCACCTCCAAATCCAGTCAAGGAAAAAACTTGAAAAAATCATCCAGTTTTGTCATCGCGCATTGTGTCCCACCAGAGACTATATACCATGATAGATGTTGATTAGAAATAAATAGTTTCTACATGATGATGTAATGGCGATTCGTTTTTCCTCTGCGATTGTAACATGCAGCTGGCTACACTTTGCTGGCGCACACCGCCATCACCACTGAAGGTCCTGTACAACTGTAAATAAATGCACGCGTGAATAAATAATTATGAGTCGATGGGACAAAACATTCTTTAACAGAAAAAATACCCAAACAAAATAATTTCATCACATGAATAATACAAAACAAATTTGTTTTACGGTCCAAGATCCACTCGAGGAGAGCTATCGTGATCTACATGTGCCTTATAATTCCTCGATTATCCAGCTCAAGAATTAACATCACTTCTCCCCATGTGGAAGTGGATAGTGATTTGAATCCAGGCTGCAGGAAATACGTTGAGTCTTTTTGCTTTGTTCGCTATGTTGATGAAGTAAACGTAATTGACACCCTTGGTAATATTCCACTATTGTGACTTCCCTTAATAAATGCTGGGCAACATATGGTACGTTACACGAATATCTAGGTCATATGACTCTATCGTAGATGTACAGTAATTATTCAATTCCTTCAATCCGTGGATACATACAGAAACATTTGTGTAGCCCTTTCCCATTTCTCTGCGATTTCCCCGAACTACTGGACGGTTTCGTAATGTGTACCGTTTCAAGGGAAATTTGAAACCCAGAAAGTATACGGTGAGGTTTGTCGCCATTATGCGATTGTGTCCTTGCCCCATTTAAATCTCGTTGCCTTGGTACAGATATGAATATTCATGAGGCCCCTCATTAAAGAATGGTCTATAAATGTCAAAATGGAATTTCTTCTGGTGACGTCATTACGACGATAGAGAGTCATGACGGTACGATAATGCATAAGGGGAACATGCTCTAACAATAAGTCAATGTAACTCGTGATCACTTGGAGAGAATTTGTTGTGGATAATGACGCTTATATTTTTTCGTTATTTTATGTTCATGAGTGAACCAAACTATTCCAATTCAAAGTTCCCCAGTGTGTGAGCCGGATGCAAGTTTGTTAGTTTCCACAATTTACAAGGAAAAATGACAACGCGTATTACGTGTGAAAGCGCATAATACTTGATTCCGGGATGGCTCTCTATCAAACATATATGCTCTAGTTCCCCTTAGATTCCCATATTATCCTGTTTGTGTAGATGTAAGTTGGCCCTGAATTTTGCATCGTTATTACCAAGAATAGCTTCAACCATATTTTCCAAATGTAATGAAATTAGCACAGAAATAATACAAGATTTTAGTTGATGTCATTGCTTGTTTTGGCGAATTTTGCGACGTCGGAAAAAGACGACATTGGTAAATGCTGATCAGTATATATCTCACCTAATTTCCATTAATTGTATAAAAGGTCTCAGCTTCTACGTGAAGAATTTAACACTCACTCTTAAGACAAAACATAAAATGACCCCGGTTTTCAAAATTTAAATAGTGTCCTGAATATATCAACAAATGAACGGTTTGACTTGATATATCTTATTGTATGAACAACATCGCGCACGTAAGCTTGGCATCAATTTAACGTAAAAATAAAATAATATTTCACAACACTCGAATATTTTTGTTTAGGATAAAAATTTTGTGTGTTTGATGATTGTATGGCCTTCTTTGCTTACGTATACAGTAGAAAGTTGCAAAAGATAGCTATTCCCATATATGGAACTATATATTTAGAATATGGATGGGAAGATTTGGTCCAATTTAACACATAAGATGGTATATATATTTCCCAACAATTTTCCAATAAATGTGAAGTTAGAGGTAGATATCCACATCATCGCAATATTATTTATTCGAATATGAATTGATTATATTATCGGAAACAATGATAGAAAATCATAAAACGTTTCCAACAAACGCACCTAGCCGATCAATGGCCATCATTCTTTTGTCTATAAAAACGACACAAAATTATGCGAATGAACGAGATAATTCCTTTGAATATGTGTGCATATACATTTCATACCATATATAAATCATTTTTCATTAATATTATCCGAAGTTTACAATATAAGGTTAGAATTAAATCACCGTTTCATTAACCTGTTCATATATGAGAGTACGATAATAGCCCAAATAAAATTGAATATTATTACATCAAGTAGGAACTAAAGTAGTTACAGTTATGGCTACGTTCTGAACTTCTAACACTCTGGTGTAAAGGTTTAGAATATGGTGTATTGCACTAAATATGTCAATTTCTTGTATAAAATATGGTTCAAACAATCCAAAACTTTCAAAGAGAGATAAAACACCTGTAAACCCTATATGCACGTAGCTATATGATATTGAACAAAGGGCTAAATGTAGATACTGAAGTCAGTTTCATGAAAAAGTATCTGAACTATACGCAAAATATACACCCATAATACTGACGGTATGATCGGAGGATTGGGCGATTGTGTTTACTCTTGTTCAACCGGACCTTTCACCTCAGCGGCAGAAATTGCCCTGAGTATGTAGAACAATATGTTGACGTATGACATCACTACCACTGACCGATTTCTTAAAATATGCCGTCTTTGCTGACAACCGAGGAATTTTAGGATTTTTGCGAGACCCTTCCATTGATTCAGGGATCGTTTTGTACATAAATATGAGATATAAGTAATCAGAATGATTCACGACTATCTGTGTGTTGTTATATGTTTTTATCGTTTTCACTATAAGTAAGAGAAAAAGCCAAATGCAGATAATTACCGTTGTAGATTCTGCATTGATTTGCGTCAGTCATGGCGTCACGCTTTACGCAAATCCTTTGACAATTTCTTAAGAACTATTACTATCATTGCATTTAATATCTATTTATAATTTTCCTATTTCTTGCTACGATACTCTTCTTCCTTACATATTCCAAAGGTATTGAGCCATTGCAAGCAATGAATAGACGGGATGAATGTTGAAAAATTTAAGAAAATGCTACGCGAAGTGGCAAAATCGGAATTTGTCTTTTTGTTTACATTTCAGAGAAGCGCAGTCTTCTCAAGCACAGCGTTCGTTTTCACACCCAATATGTTTCGTCTCATTTTATCTAAAGACAGTTGGTGCATTGGTGAGAAGCGCAGACCAGTTACCAGTGCAGTTTACAGATGTATGGGGAATTCAGTGATGCATTTTTTTCCGAAGCTGAATATGAAATATACGTGATGTAATAGGCGTCTCAATACCGGCCTTAGCGAAACATTGATTTTGTAAACACTATCCAATAATATTATGAAATAGTCCAGTCATCCTGGTAAAGATTCTGGACCTAACCCACCACAAATTGCAACAGAAATGATTTCCAGCTGTTTGTAAGATCCTGAACCGGTTCCTTTATAACATATAGCAAAGAGTCTGGAAAATACCAGTGGTGGAACAAAGGAGTCAAATCGACTCACCAAAGGTCCTTAGGGGGTCATCTTCGCTTCTCCGAAATCTTAGGATGGAAATGCAAACTTTTTTGTAATCACTCCTCAGTGGCATCCCAAGTTATATATCAAATAAAAGCTCTGTTTACAGGCTTTTCAAGGATGCTATACGTTTAATAGGTATTAGCCTCATAATATTTGTTTTATTTTAAAAACGATTCTGAAAAGCATGGCAATCGTTTCCAGACATCCATATGTATGTGTATGCTACGATTATGTAAAACTAATAATACTAAAAAACAATGTTTAATAATTTTGGAAACGGTATTGCTTTTATATCTTTAAAATAAAACGAACATTTAAAAATGCAGTTAAAGTCCTTTAAATTTTAATTGACTAACATTTGTTGTCCTGCCAATGATGATTGACATGAGCACAAGTGACTTGTCACCACCTGGGAACATGGAAAACAATGTCACACCAATCGTCACTTTTGATCCACAGTCTCTCTGGCGGAAGAAGCGAGATAAAATTTCCAGTAAGGCGCTGTCGGGGTTTGAGATTAACGGGACCGGACTGGAATATCGTGGATGGAGGTCCATTTGCCGGGACTACGGTAGTGATATGGCAAATGACAATTCTAGTTCGCTAACAGGAAGGCGCCGGAGCTGACTCCGAAATCATTTCATGGCCCATACTCGGTGCACTTTCGTATGGTACTCGGAACGTTTCAGACATACGCTTCGATGGCGGTGATGGAGGAGGATAAAACCATGGCGGATGCCAAAGTACGACGAAACGGATGGTGATCTGACTTTGTTGATCTGTTTCGTACCATCGGTTAATTTGGCCTGATGGTTCCGAAAACGTTGACTTTCGTCGCGAACCGGAGTTCGAATCGCTTTGGACGATAGCGAATTTTACAATGGCGAAGCGGAATGTTGCTCGGAATATTTAACAAAGACGACGCCGAAACAAACTAGATCGTCGAGATACCCGAAAAAGAATACTGACGAACGGGACGTGGGCTTTGGATTCGATACCGCGGACTGGGCAAATTATCGCAGCCCGGAATTCGACAAAAGAAAGCTGAAACGACTGGAAGACATGGGATACCGTATCCAATGTCGCAACTGTATGTCGGTTGGTTTCGATTCCGGCGGAGGATTCGTGACCCACTATCTGGAATACGCAGAATAAGCATCGCCTTACCGTGCATGCATTCATTCACTGGCCAGGAGGATCATTGGAACCATGCGGAGCATTAGAACAAACGGAAGGCGCGCAAGACTACGCTATGCGAAATTCAACGATACGAAAGCGGAATGCGATGCAGAGGCTCACCGAACGCAAAGGTGTCCGGTACCCGAACCGGAAGAATAACGAACGTAGCGCGGG